TGAGCCACATCCCCAGCCCCTCTAATTTACTTTTATTTGACAAATTAGCTGCTTTGTTTTCAGGATCAAGGAGATTGTAGTACATTGCTATAGAATCTAGATTATTAAGTTTATTTGAACTTTATGTACTTTGTTAAAGTTCATCTTAACAGAGTATTTTTTCCTTAAGATACTATATTGTGGGAATATTGTAGCTTTTTTTTTTTTTCACATCTTTCTTTCTCTGTAGTCAACTTCTGGAAAAAGTACAGAAATAGGAATCTTGGAAAAATATATATAAATATTTGCGCAACAAATCTTTGAAAATATTGGTGTCTCTTACTTGGGAGTCTTGTAAGTGCTGGTCTGTCTGAAAAGTATTTCAGGTGTGGAACATTGTATTTGGGAGAAAAAGTTAAGAAGACTCCCCAGCAATGTTCTCTTACAAGTTTTGACTGTTAAATTGATGCATTTTAATCAGTGGACTTACTAGTAACAAGCATTTTTCTATGAATGCATAGTTCCTTTAAAGGCAGAAAAAGATAATGATGCTTTTAGGATTCCTGTGGACTACAGAGGAGGGCATTCCTTTTTAACTAGCTCTTTTAAGTCTATCGAAGGCATTTTGTTTTGTTTTTGGTACTGGGGATTGGACTCAGGGACTCTTTACCACTGAGAGACATTCCTAAACCTTTTTATTTTAAGATAGAGTCTTACTAAGTTGCTTAAGTCTTTGCTAAGTTGCTGAGGCTAGCTTTGAACTTGGAATCCTCCTGCTTCAGCCTCCTTAGTCGCTGTGATTACAGGCATGTGCCACCACATGAGACTAAGGCATCGTTTTGAGGAATACATTTATGAAAAAATCATGAATTTTATATTGGGCATGGGTCAGAAGTTGTGAAATCTAAATCTGTTTGAAAATCTTAAATAAATTATCTTTGAACATAAAGAAAATCTGTAAAAAAGGAATAGCTTTTTTGCCAAATGGCTCGATGGTATCAATCTCTAGTTGTTTCTCTTCTACGCTGCTCAAGTGGTGCCCTTTGTTACATTTTCACAATTTTTATTTAGTGGACTTTATGGTAGAGGGCAGAGTTTAATTCTTTTGGCTGTTATCTGTATCATTAATACAATAAAAAAAGAGCCTTTCAAATCAGAGAGAGAAAGAAAATTCAAAACCTTTTTGGTTTGGCTTGATAACTGTTCCTTTTTCTTTTCTCTCTCTCTCTCTCTCTCTCTCTCTCTCTTTAGATCAACAGCATGCCTTTATTTTATTTATATTTATGTGGTGCTAAGGATTGAACCTACTGCCTCACACATGCTAGGCAAGCGCTCTGCCACTGAAGCTACAGCCCCAGCCCCCTATTTCTTTCTCTTTACTTTAAGTGTCATTATAATTTTGAGGATAAACTTCTATAGTATAAGGTTGAATTGCCACATTAAGCAAAATTTACATATTTTTCCTATCCAGTTTTACTAATTAATGTTGTCACAATTTAAAGTAAGAAGGGGATAAAACAATGTACATTCCACCCTCATTTAAATTATAGTGCTGCCTTTTAGCTGTCTTAAAATACTTCTTCCATATATGAGTTTCTGTAATTATTTCTCTATTTTAAAAAAACAAACTATCTTCAATAGGCTTTAAAAATTTTATTTTCTATTACAAATAACAAAGTTTATAGTTAACTTTTAGAGTTAAATCTAAAATATTAAATATCTATAGATTGAAAATGTGATAAGTCTTAAATTACATTCAGAGTTCAGCTTATGAACATCAGTAGATAAAATTACGTCTTTCTAGGGGCTGGGGTTGTGACTCAGCAGTGGAGTGCTCGCCTAGCATGTGCGAGGCCCTGGGTTCGATCCTCAGTACCACATAAAAAATAAAGGTATAAAAAAATTGCATGTTTCTAAATAATCTTGTGGAATAGAACTCTATCCCAAAGATTTGAATATTGAATTTGTAACTTTTTCTAATAATTTACTAATTGAAGCAGTCATTAAATCATGTTTCATAGTTCATAAATCATTGTACCATTACTCTTTAGAATATAAATCTCATTTCATGGATTTCAGGAGCCTTATTAATTTGTGTTTTATAATGGATCCTGTTTGGTAGAATATTGCTTATCATAATTTATAAAATTGTCCAGTAAAATATCACCAAAAAAAGTTTTTGGAATCCAAAATTGTTTTAGCTTTGAGTGAATAAAGTAAGTAAGATGGTTTTAAGGAAAAATCCATTTCTTTGAAGTTTATTTTGATATATAATCAATGGGAAGTATAAAATCCTATTTTTTGTACTAGTTTTACAAAATCTTATGGGGATTTCCAGAATATTCATTCAACACTTGAATAATATACATTGTCTGTGGAATTTAAAGAGAAATCAGTGTACTTAATCCTGTCTGCACATTAGACTCACTGGTACAGATGCCCTTGCATGACTCCAGATTAATTGTGTCAGGATTTCTAAGAGGATTGGATATCTGCTGTAATAGAGGGAGGATTAGAGTGGGATCTTATAAAGGATAGAACCTGAAGTTACCATGGTTGAGGGTCTAGTCTAGAGCTACACAAGTCTAGAGCACTGACTTTCTGAGTTTTGAGTTGACTTGTATTTTTAAGATTTGACTCATGATAAACATCTTTTAGAGACTGAGGGAAAAAGTAGGATTCCAATTTCTTTACTTTGTGTGGGTGATAGACCTTTCTAATCATTGGCATACTTGGGATTGATATCTGAGTCTCATCAGAAGGTCAGAAGCACTGGAGAGACTAAATTTGTGATTACTAAGATTATTAAACAGAGATTGAGCATTGGGACTTGGGTAACTTTAAAAGATATGTTCATTGTAGACAAGAAAAACCTGAGGAATTTTTTCTTTGCTTAATAAAGCATACATGTATCTTTCCAGATATATTTTTATCACCTAAAAATGATGTCTCTTTGAGGAAAAGTGCTGGATATATCTAGAAAAATTACTGTGCTTTGAATGCTGTTCATCTACAGTCCATGCAGCTTACTAAACGTTAAAAGTCTGCACTTGGAGCTAGGGTTGTAGCTCAGTGGTAGAGCACTTACCTAGCATGTGTGAGGGACCAAGTTCAATTCTCAGCACCACATTTAAATAAATCAAATAAAGATCCATCAACAACTTAAAAAATATTAAAAAAAAAAAGAAGTCTACGCTTGAACTAATTTTATTAACTTAAAACTTGAACTCTCTGTGGATGAGTACTACCTCTTCTAGACTGAGATTTGCCTGTGTCTCCTTGTTTGACCTTGGGTGTGTGTCTCTGTTTCTATCTCTTGTATGTATATGTGTACGCCTCTCTCTTCCTGTACGTCTCCTGTATGCCTGAACACATGCATGTGTGTACCTTTTTTTTTTTAATTTCAGCATTGTTGAAAGGGAGAGAATTTTTTTGGTTGTTGATTTCTAGTTTCTTCATCAGAAACTTAAATTCTAGGTAGGTCTTGTGGTGGCCACTTGTGTCATTTCTACTGTTCTGCCTTACTGAAAGAATACTGTTTATATTTGTTCAGTGTTGGTACATACTCCATTTATTTAGTTCTGACATTTCAACTCCAAAGTTCACTCTTATTTTATGGGGCATGGGGGAACCTAAACACTGAACTGAGTAGCTCAGGACAAATTAGAGTTTAAGGAAGGAGTTTTTTTTGTTTTGATGGTTTGTAAATTGCTTTAATGAGAAAACTAATAGAGAGCTGTTCTGGAGGAAGATCAAAGGAGGTGTTGAATGAGGTTCAGGATAGGGTATCTGGTTGCCTTACCAGATTCTGCTAAATCAATATTCATGTTGTGGCAATATGGGGTAGTGAAAAAAGTGCTGAATTGTTTTCAGTTTTATCTTTGGCATATTAGCTGTGATTTGGTTACTTGAAAATAAACACTACCCCATAGTTTCAGTTATCTTGAATCTAATTCTTAAAATTATTACCATAACCTAAATATATATATAGTAAGTTATAAAATTTTCCCTCATGACTGCTCTCAGTCTCAGAACAAGTATTTTCTTAGCAAAAAGAAATTTTCTGAATAAACCATTTTTCACTCCTTAATATTGATAGGAACAGCAAATAGATAACTTACTATGAGCTATAAAATCAAAAGATAATCTCTAAAACTAGTTATTGTTACTGTTGTTCATTTGGTATAGTCTCTCCCAAAAACCTACCTTCCATATTGGAACACACTGAGGGTGGTGATGTTATGGATATTATCTCAGCTTAAAATAATATCAGACTTGTTTATAATCATAGATTACTGATGATCTACTCTGTATCTGGTTTAAAAATAAAAGCATGTTATTTGAATAAGAATTTTAGAGTTTTAAACCAGACTGTTAAATAGCTTTTATATGCTAGACACTAAAAACAGGAGTGAACAAAACTAGATGAAGGTCCTTTTGTATTGAGCTTATAGTGTATTGTGAAATCAGGCAGTAAATGAACAGTAAAGCAAGGAGAGTGACTAATGAGTCTAGACCTGCTGTGAGTTTAAAAAATATAAATACATGCTATTTTAAAAATACATCTAAACAGCCAGGTAGGGTAGTGCAGGCATATATAATCTCAGCAATTTGGGAGGCTGAGACAAGAAGATTGTTAAGTTTGAGCAATTTATCAAGACCTGTCTCAAAATAAAAATTAGAAAAAAAAAATAAAGGAAAAAGAGTCTGAGAGTTTAGCTCAGTGGTAGAATGCCCCTCGGTTCAATTCCCAGTAACACCCCCCAAAATCCCATTATTATGTATAATTATAATGCATGAACAAAAATAAATAAATAAGGAGCTGAGGTTGTGGCTTAGCAGTAGAGCACTCGCTTAGCACGTGTGGGGCACTGGGTTCGATCCTCAGCACCACATAATTTTAAAATAAAGGTATTGTGTCCAACTACAACTAAAAAATAAATAAGAATACTTTTTAGATTTTTAATATACTTACAACTTTTCTAGAAGTATGTATATATTAGGCATATAATTAATATAGATTCTTAAGAGAATTTATTAATGAACTTCAGATTTCCAAATTAATAATAAATTGGAAACCATAAGCTATTTAATATTAATTCAGGTCAAATTAATAGTTTGTAATTTTACAATATTTGTCTCTTTTGATTACAGATTCTTGAAACTATGCCAATGACTGAAAAAGTTGAAGAATTGCTACATGTCATAGGTCCATTTTATGAAATTGTAGAAGACAAAAAGAGTGGAAGGAGTTCTGATTTAACCTCAGGTTGGACTATTTTACCTATTTTTAAAATTTGGCCAGTTATAGATTATACATGCATTAATATTTATATGTCTAATTTTTATTTTTACTTTCACATGCCAGTCCGACTGGAGAAAATCTCTAAATATTTAGAAGGTAGGAATAATGAAATCCATATAAAAATTTTGTTTGAAGCATTCTGCACAAATTTGTAGAACTTATTGTAGGTTGGGAATTTTTTTCCAAGAAAACACATTGTATAAAGTTCTAAAATACAATAAATCCTTAGATTCTTAACCTTAACTGTTGTTAAAACATGCTAGGTGGTTCACTTAGTATGAACAAAAGTATGTTTTGATGAATCATTTTCTGTTTTACTGTATGAATTAGAATAATAGTTCCATGGAGTAAAATATTTTCTATCTAATTTTAAAATGGGTATGTTTACAGTATGGCTTAATTATAGCATAACAAGCAAAAACAAGACTCAGTGAATTCACGTATCTCTTTTAAAAAGTATGCATTTTTTCAGTAAAGGATCGATAGATTATGTTTTGCCTACCAGAAGGAGTTAAAAAAAATGCTAGATCTACTGGCATTAACAGTAACCATTTGCTCTTTAAATTTTTTTAGAAAGCAGAATGATGATATGAAACCACAAGAGTAAATTTAGATGAAAATTGTGTATGCTTTAATTAAAAATTAGCCTGGATTCCTGTTCATAAGGCATCTTTTAATAATTAACAGATTTGTAGTGTTTCAGAACAGTAATTTTCCTGTGCTCTTAAAAGGCCTTAAAGTTTGTGTCTTTCATGGCAATAAACCATGTATAACTGACAGTGTCTGCTTGTTTGTTGTGCATAATTCTGAATCACACCATTCTATATTATTTTGCAGAGGAACCAAATATTAATAATTCTCTTTATACTTTATGCTTATTAAGCTGAGGAAAAAAAACTTAAATGTTTTCTGTATCAAGCACACTGTTAGAATGCAGGTGGAAATTTTGACCTATTTCAGTAGTGTCTAACCTACTGGCCAGAAGCATTCTTGAATAATAAAGTACAAAACAAGGAAGAGTAAATGATAGTTATAAGTGCGCAGGACTAATTACTTTCCTTTAATTTATTAATCCCCAAAGCTTTGAAAACCTAAGGTTGTTTTGTAACTCATTTGGTATAAAAACCTGACCTCATATGAACTCATTGTGGAATAGAACCTTATCTGAAATGACATGAGGGTATTTTGATTCTTTATATGATTCAGTGTGACTAACATATTTTCCTGAAAAAATGATTATATTGTTATATAAAAATAATAATTATGTTATTATTTTTAGTGAGCTGTTTGAGATTCCACATAGGAAGTATTATATAACATACTATGTCATGTATATTTGCAAAATTAAAAAATTTCTGAATCCAAGAGTTGTCAGTAAGGAATTGTGACCTACACTGTAATTTATTTAACTTGGACCATTCTGATGGCTATTTAGATGATTTTCTCTTTTTGATCTTCAGAAGCTTTTGAGAGTAACTAACTAGGTACATGATATTTTACATATTGAAAGTATGTTTGTAAGAAATAATATTAGAAGTGAAATAAGAAGTGTTTGTAATCTAGTAAGAATTGCCAAATTTCAGGCCAATTGCAATCTTGACTCCTTTTTTTTTTTTTTTTTCCAAACAAAGCATCCTCTTAAAAGTAGACATTTAAACCCAGTGGAACAGATATATCAGTTTCACATGGTCTTTTTCAGAATATACATATGTAATAAGTTTCAAAATGTGAAAGTATAAGTTCTCCATTTGTTTGTCTTGTACCTTATTTTAGGAGTTTACTAACATTATATATGATCCTAATTTTTCCAAAGTCTTTTATCAGATTGAGGAAATGCCCTTGTATTCTTAGTTTCTCTAGGACTTTTACCATGAAGAGAATAGGATTTGTTCAGTTTTTTCTTCATGTATTGTGATAATCATGTGACTTTTGTCTTTTAATCTGTTAATATGATATATTGCATTAATTGGTTTTTGGATATTGAGTTGGCCTCTGCTATTACTGCTGTGAAGTGGTTCTGTTACAACTATCCATTTAATGGGGGTTTAGGTGATTTGTATTTACATTTTATTGAAGATATTCATGGGTGGGTAGTTTCTTGGCTATTTAAATTTGTTGTTCTTCCTTTTTCTGGTTGTTAGAGAGATTCAGAAACTATGCTGTTTCCATGCCTAGCATGTACAAGGTCTTAGATTTGACTCCCAGCACTGGGAAAAAAAAAAAAAGTACATAATACAATACTTTAGGCTTGGGATGCAGCTTAGTGGTAGAATACTGTTTACTTAGCATGTGCAAGGTCCTAGGTTTGGTCCCCGGCACCATAAAAAGAAACAAACAAAAAATATATGCTGCTGCTGCCATGGTTTTGTAATAATAGAGTTAAATTTTTGTTCTGTTGTTCCTTTAATTAGGTAGGCTTAAATAAAAATATAGACCTGATTGTTTAAGGTGTATGATATTTTGGAATTTAATATATTATTTGGGATGCAGAGAAACATCCAAAATGCATTCATTTCACAGAAAATAAAGCCCAAAAGTGAATGAAGGAAAATTACTTCTTTTGGCCTTCTAAGAAGACTTTAGTCTCTTTAAAAAAAAGAGTTGATGAAAATGGTGTTCCGTGTTCCTCAAAATGTGGTCCGAAAACATTGGCAACACATGGGAACTTTATAGAAATGCAGAATTTTAGAGTACCTCAGACCTACTGATTCAGAATATGTATCTTAAGTAGATTTTAGTTGATTATGCATGTTATAGTTTGAGAAGAAGTTTTGATACATTTACACTGAGGGCTTAACTTTGTCCAAGACAACAATTTGCTGCTTTGAGATCACATTACATTAAATGATGCTTTAAGGAAATTCTTGTGTGTTATAATTAATACATAAGAATGTGAGTTGTGTACCTGAAATCCTCAAGATAATAAGGGGAAAAATTGTTTAAATCGAATTGAATTACAAGGGTTTTTTTTTTGTTTTTATTTTTTTTTGTACTGGTGGTTGAACCCAGGTATACTCCACCACTAAGCTACATCAGCAGCCCTTTTTATTTTATTTCGAGACAGGGTCTCCCCAAGTTGCTGTGGCTGTCCTCAAATTTGAGATCTTCTTCAATCTCCAGAGTAACTGGGATTATAGTTGTTATAACTGTGCCCAGCTTCCAAATAAAATATTGATGAGATTGTTGGTAGGGTCAAAAATAGCATACTTATGTTTTCAGATGCTATAGTATATCTCTTTATTTATTTATTTATATGTTTGAAGAAGACTGTTTATCTCTAACTTTACTGTTTTGATTGATGTTAACTTAAAAGTAATTTATTATCTCCTTGCCCATAAAGGAATTAAGATAGCTTTATCATTTTTGTTTTAAACTTAATAATGGAAGGAATTTGCCTATATAAGTTTGTATTTGGAGTCAAAAAGAATACTGTTAATTATCTATAAAATTCTACTATTCTAATTCAAAATTATTAGTTATAAAGTACAGAATTATCATATGTTACGACATTAATGATTAAGTGGTCATTTCATGTTTTAGATCTTGGTAATGTTCTAACTTCTACTCCAAATGCTAAGACTGTTAATGGTAAAGCTGAAAGCAGTGATAGTGGAGCAGAGTCTGAGGAAGAAGAGGCCCAAGAAGTAAAAGGAGCAGAACAAATGGATAATGGTAAGCTTTGGATAATGGGCCAATAATTTTGCACTAATAAGATGAAAAGATACAAAGACTTGAGCTGATATGGTACTATACAAGGTTAGTGCATCTGGTGGGATGTTAGTTGTTGACCTTATATTCAGGTTTGTGGTGGACCAAAGGCCCTATTACGGAGTATTAAGTTAGTGTTTCCAACATGGACATGGTTATATTACCAAGGACCAGAAGCAAGTTAAACTCTCACTATCTTATCAAATATAAAATAGAGGGGGCTGGGGATGTGGCTCAAGCGGTAGCGCGCTGTCCTGGCATGCGTGCGGCCCGGGTTCGATCCTCAGCACCACATACAAACAAAGATGTTGTGTCTGCCGAAAACTAAAAAAACAAATATTAAAAAATTCTCTGTCTCTCCTCTCTCTCTCTCTCTTTCTAAAAATAAAATAAAATAAAATAGAGGGGCTGGGGTTGTGGCTCAGTGTAAAGCGCTTGCTTAGCACATGTAAGACACTGAGTTCAATTCCCAGCACTACATGAAAAAATTAAATAAACAAAATCAAGATATTATGTCCATCTACAACTAAAAATATTTTTAAAATAAATAAATAAAAATTCAGAGAAATAGACTAGCTTTTAATTTTTATTTTTTTAATTAAAAAACAATTTTTTTTTGGTGGTGCACAGGATTGAACCCAAGGCCTTGCACATGCTAGGGAAACACTCTACCACTAAACCACTGAGCTACACTCCCAGCCTCTAGTCATAAGTTTTTTTGGTTTTGATACTAGGTATTGACCCCAGGGGTATTACATCCCCAGTCCTTTTGTTATTTTTATTTTGAGACAGGGTCTTGCTAAATTGCTGAGGCTGGCTTGGAACTTTGAATCCTCCTGCCTCAGCCTCTTGAGTTCTAGGATTACAGATGT